AAATGTTTCGTTCAAAAATGCATCGAAAATGAAAATGTAAAAAAATGTTTCGGTAAACCAAAAAAAAAAAAAAAAACAACAAATGGAAAAACAAATAAACAAATGAAAAAACGAATAGCGAATGATTAATGATCCAGATGGATTTTTTGCTGTTGTTGTTTTTGCATATCAAATTCATAGGTATCAGGTTGTAAACGAGAGCTACTCGCACAAACAAACACAGGAGCGAAACCAAAAAAAAAAAATAATAATTTTCATTAATCAACACAGGTGTTTTAAGTGGATTATTCCTTTTTCAATTGTCAAAATTGATAATTAAATTATTCAAATCCAAAAATGAATACATACTTGATTAATGCAATATCATTGCGAAAAAATTCAGTACGTGTAAAATTTTCATGTACAATTAATTGTTCAATTTTGATTAGACGAAGATTTTGATTGTTTGAATGTTTTGTTGTTGTTGTTGTTGTTGATGATCCATGGTGTTTTTCCAATCCATTCAAGGATGCATTATTCGTATTCACCGATGATACATGATGATGATGATGTGAATTTAGATTATCAAAGTTTTTGTTATTATTATTATAATCTTCATTCGTATCTTCAACAACAATAACTAAATCATCCGTATTGATTGGCCTGTGATGATGATATTCATCATCATCATCATCATCATCATCAATATCAAAATATTCTTTTGTTCGATTATTTTCTTTCAATACATTCGATATGGTTTGATGTGGCGGTGGTAATGGTGGAAATAGATTCCAGAAATTTTTATTTGTTGTTGATGATGATGATGATGGAGGTTTTATTGTCGATGATAATGTAAAGGAAGTTGATGATGATGATGATGATAGTGGATGATGATGGGTCGATGACTTTAGTTGTGATGATGTTGTGGATGTCGAAATAGTTGCTGCCGTTGTTGTTGTTGTCGATGATTTTCTGGATGATGATGATGCTGAAACACTAAATATACTTCCTATTAATGCAGTAAATTGATGTGGATCATGACCATAAACACAATGTGCAGCAGTCAATAACCAATCATTATCAATTATAACGGCACCACAATAATGTCGTCCACGAAGTAAAAGCGACACCTGTTGTACACGAATAATAAAAAAGAAAAGAATTTATAATTTTTAAAAAATGTTTGAATCGCCATCCATAGATGGCACACAAGTATGATGGATTTTTCTTTTTCATTTGAAAACAAAAAAAAAAATTGAAAATTTTTTACCATCCATGGAAATTCTCCTTGTATAACAGCATCACCACCAACAATTCGACTTGTTCGAAGCTGTTGTTGTAATGAATGCTGTGGTGATATGGTAGTCGATTTTGATTGAGAAATTGTTGACAATGGAACAGCGGTTGTCGATGATGATGGTAGTGAAATATTATTAGTTAAATTCATTGACACCGACGACACCGATGAAGATGATGAAGAAACTTGACGATAGAATGATGATTGTATACCACAAATATGATTATTACGTGAAGGTTTCCACCATAATGATGATTTTGATGTTGATGATAATAATGGTGGTAACGACGACGACGATGATGACACGTGTTGATTACTTACACCGCTATCCTGTATATTGTTATCAATTATAAATGTTGTTGATGAATTTAATAAATGTGTAGGTGATTTATCCAATGTTGTTGATTCATTATTAACAAATTTTATATGGTTATCATTATCATTGTTGTTGTTGGATTCATATGGCATTGATTCTGTTGTTGTTGTTGTTGTTGTGATAAACGAAGGTGATGATTCTGTTTTCAAAAATTTTGTCGTTGTTGTTGTTGTTGGTGTTGATGATGAAGGATTAAAATAAACATAATAATCTTCATGATGGGCGCCATTATTATTATTGATATTAATATTCGGATTATTACTACCATAATTAACGCCTACATCGGCCATGATTCTATCATCACTATCACCATCACCACCATTATTACTATTGTCATTATAATTATTATGTTGTTGTTGTTGTTGTCGATGTTGTTGTTGTTGCTGACCATTTTGTTGTTGTTGTTGTTGACCATTTTGTTGATCATCACGTTCATTATCATTATTTATTGTATAAAAATGATTTGGTCTCCATGTTGTTGTTGTTGTTGGTGAAATTATATCATGATTTTTTACATCATCAATTTGATGATCATCGTGATCATTTATTATGAAAACGATATTATCATCATTATTATTTTCATCATAATCATCATCATCAGGTTGATTATTTGTTGTTGTTGTTGAGGTCATCATCGATGGTGACATTGATGATGATACAACAACAACAACTGGATCATTATCATCATGATTATTTGGTTTTGTTGTCGATATTGATGTTCCAATTGGATCATCATTATTATCATTCTGATTATTATTATTATTTGTAATCATTGATGATAGATTTGCATTAGAATTAAGATATGATAATGCATGTTTAACATTACGTGTTGAATGATGTACTAATTTTGCACGCATACGTAACATTTCATAAAAATTTGTTTTATAACGAAACATTGACATTGTTTCGGCTATTGGTGATGTATTGACCATCATTATTGTTTGTAGATTATTATTATTATCAAAAATCGATAATATTATTATCATTATCGATACAAGAATTAACATTGAACAAATTGATTTTAACATTGATGATGATGATGGTAACAATGAATGAATTACCGTATTACAGGTCCGGTTTTTTATTTTCTTGTTGTTGTTGTTGTTTATCAACCGATTTTGGTTAATTTCTTTCTTCATACACCAATAACGTTTTTGTTGGATAGCCATGTTGATGTTGATGAAATGAATTTTTTTTCAAAATAAAACTGGTTCATGGATGACGAAGTTTAAGAACAAAAAAAAAACTGGAATTCAATTCAATCAACAAAATGCCGTTATTTTTCTTGAAATTTTTGGTAGAGAACGAAAAAAAACCTATTCGAATTTGAAAAACATTTTTTTTCACCAAAATCGATAACAACTATTACAATCGATTGTTGAACAATCGATGATTCGTTCGTCACAGGATATATGTTCGAAATGATATTGAACTTTGTCGTCAAAATGATACTGATGATGATGATCACAAAGACACACCACAACATAAATCAACCTTTCATCTTTTTCATTTGGATAAAATGAATGAATGAACGAATATCAAAACAACAACGATCAAATTGAAATCCATCCACAAAACGCTGAACAGTATCTCAATCAAATGAAACAAAAAAAAAAGAGACTTCGGGGAAAAAAAACGGTGGCAGAATGATGATAAATATACCAAACAATCATATGATGATGATGACTGATGAGAGAATTTTTTTTTTGCAGAGAAAATATTTTATCATTTTTTTTTCTTTTTGAAAATCATTGAGAGAACTGAAATGATGATGATCAATTGAAGATGATCATAACCATCATGATGATCATCATGATGGTAAAGAGAAACAAGACGACGACAGCAATTTTTCAATATTTATTTTATTTTTCATTTTTCGGTGCAATTTTCATGCAACAATTGCAACATTACCTGTGCAATAAAAAAAATTGCTTAAAGATTTTCGTAAATTTCGAATCGAATATTTTTTGGGGAAAACAAAGGGGGTGAATGAGGGGAATAAAAATCACACTTTCAAATGATCCATTTCACACCAAAAATAAAAAAATTCAAATTAACATTCAAATATCCGAAATTTGAATTTGAATTTGAAATTATCATTTTAAAAAATCCGAAAATTACCTTGATCACACACACACACACAGAGACATTATTCAATTTTGTTTCATTCCTTGAACTCGAAAAACTCGAAACTGATGATGAACTGACATCAACCGAAGACAACGACGACGACGAAAATGTCAACTTAAATAATTTAATTTTCTTTCTTTTTGACAATAAAGAAAAAATGTCACCTGCATTCAACAATGAGAACGAAAAAAATTCATAATTTTTCTTCTTTCATTAAATGGAGAAACTTATTACTTTGTTGATACCCAGAATGAATTCACACATCACACAAGCGCATCACCTTTTTAAAATAATCATAGTTTCTTCTTCGTTTGATTTACTTGAACTTTGAGATTCGAATGAATTTTCGCAAAATATTCCAATTTGAATGTCTGTTGATTTGACCTGAATGTTGTTGTTGGTCTGTTGTTTGGACAACAAACGAAAAACATAATTGTGACAACATGATTGTCAACAAAAAAATTTCAAAGAAAATTACTTCAACGACGACGACAAAATTAATAGTCTTAGCTGATAATGATAATGGTGGTGATGATGATGATGATGATGGATAGATGAAACGTACACAAATGACGTATGGAAATTGAATTCGAATGTTTTCGAAAGGAAGAAATCGATTTGTTTTGATTGACATTCATTCATTCATTATAAATATGTCAAGATAAAGAAAATTGATTGACATTGATCTTTTCTGTATTTCGATCATCGATGATCATCAATAATCTTTGGATCATGATTTTCGGATTATCATTATTGTTGTTTGATTGATTTTTTTAGAGTTAAAAAGTTAAACTTTGGTACTTGCTTAAGTAGCTAGTTTTTAGTTAAACTTCATGAAAAAATTGTTTTGTTTTTTCTTATTGCCATTCAGCAACAACATTGATATTATTGATCCAAATTAATCTCTAAAGAAAAGATCTATTTTTAGAATAAACAAATGAAGAAAATCAGAAAAATACTTATCAGATGTGATTGTGTCAATTTACTTTTTTTTCCTCCAAAAAAAATGATGCAAAATCATTCATTTCAAAATTTCTTTGTTCAAAACATCGATAAATGTGAAATTGGAATCCTGATTTTCTCAATGTTTGTTGTTTGTTGAAACAAGATCAACAAACAATGGAAAAAATGAATCAAAATTTTTTTTTTGTTCCTTTAATCATCATGGATCAAGTTTCATCTTTTTCGTTGATCCATCTTGTTTCATCCAATTTTTTTCCATCCATAAAACGAAAATTTGATGCTCGAAACGGATGAACGAATATTTTGTAATCAACAAAATACAATGTCGTCGTCGTTGTCTTTGTTCCAAATCTTTGAATTATCATCATGATGATGATGATGATATGATTGAATCAAACACGACAAATCAAATCAAATTCCCCACGTACAATATGATCTAATCCATTTTTTTTTAAATTTTGAAAATTTTCCCCAAAACTCATTCAACATAAATCATATTGAACCACCAATAATGCCATAGAAAAAAATGATTGATCGAGATGATCATCATTATCGTTATAACAAAGTGTTTATGTAATGTGAATGATTACATTCACATTTCATGTAACGAAAAAAATCTCATTTGGATCATCATAAAAATCAAAAAAAATAAAATAAAATAAAATTATGAACCGGGCACTACCTGTTGATTATATGTAAATAATATGCAAAATGTGTGACCATTACCATCATTATCATCATAAAATGGTAATCTTTTTTCGATGATAAAATCTTCAAATCATCATCATCATTGTATTGAAATTTATCTTGTAACATTTTTTTTTCATTTAGAAAAACGAAAATTAATTGATTTGAATCAATTTTGTTATCGTTAATATTTGTAATGATCATCATCATCATTAAATGATAATTTGAAAAATGAAAAACTTTTTCATTGAAAATGAATTAATTAATTTTTTGTGTTTGAAACCAATGTTTGGATAGATTTTGATCAACAATGATGATCAGCGTGATCGTGTTGTCATTTATCATCATCATCATTATCATCATTATCATCTAGATCTAGACAAAAACCTTGACAAGTAAGGTTGATATAGTCGTTCATTTACATTTTTTTCATTTTCTTCATTTCATATTTCTTCTCACATTCGGGTCACATTTGATATTCTGATTATATGGATATTTGTGAACAAGAAAAAAAATGAATTTTGTTAACACCGATCACCATCAGTGGGTATCAGTATGAAAGATCTGTTGTTTTTTCCAAAGAAATTTTCTATCTGATTTTTTTTTTGCTTGAAAAAGGTGATGTAATGATGTAATGATTGACACGTTGTTTGTCAGACCTGTGTTTGTTTGTTTGTTTAATTTTTAAATTGCATCATGGTGATGGTAGAAATTGAGGCCAAATTTATTCAATTTTTGTTTGTTGAAGAAAAAATTCAGCAAAATCATATCATCGATAGATGAACATAACTCTTTTCATCAAATCATCATTGAAGATGATGAGGATGATTAATGACTGGAAAAATCTACCTCAGGTAACCTGTATGATCCGGTATTTTTTGAGATTTAAAGAAGAAAATAAAAATGTTTTAAATTCACTTTTTTTTCACTTGATGACAGCATCAAATTCTTTCTCTTTTTTCTAATGTCCGGTCAATGTGATATGATGAAGATGCTAAATTTAGCCAAAATCATCTTCATCATCGTCGAAACAGACTGGATCGTCTTTATCATCGTTATTGATACTTCGTTTTAAGAAATGAAAAAATGTTTACAAGAGAAAGCGAACCCCAACATATCAAACATTTCTTTTATTTCTGTGTTTAGTCATCGGCTAAATAACATTTGGATCCTCCTGATCAAAGGATCGAAAATTTTATTTTTAACCGAAAAAAAAATGCTGATGCACACTTTGTAGCTGCTGCTGCTGATGCATGCCAACATGCATAAACAGGTAAGGAAATTTC